GTGATGTATATGGAGTGGAAATGGTGTAAATAGGCTAGATGACAGTATAATCTAGAGAATATGGTTCATCGACCATCTCTATCAGCAAATTGCTCGAGAGAGTTACTAGCTGCGCATTCATACTGAATTAGCCGTTCTTTTATCGGATTCTTTTGAGAGAACCAGTTCTGGGAAGTACTCGGAAGTTATGCAACCCTCACGAGCCCAACCTGTGTCGGATTGTGTGGAGCTCTGGGGAGGAAAAAGGATAAAATTCGCCGATCAATAGGGCAAGATCCAAGGACACGCTATCCCGAAGGCTCAATGGGTGCTCAATACGCCATTTTTGGAATGTTAAAGGGCTTCTCACTTCGCTAAAGATAGACATGCATCCTCACCTATAAAAGCAGCCCGACCGTCCAAATGATCCAAGCTCCATAGTGAAGATGCACCTCCTATCTTTCATTCCTCTACTTTCATTCCTTGCGTTCTCTGTAACGGTCTATGGCCAGCAAACGGCTTATGGCCAATGTGGTGGTACCGGATGGACTGGTTCGTGTTCTTGTAGTTTCACCAGAGCCTCATAACAACCTTATCCCTGCAGGTCCTACGACCTGTGTTTCTGGGTAAGCCTTCTCTAGCGTATGGAAATGGCCTTTCATGACCGTCAACCAAAGGTACACTTGTGTGTATAGCAATGACTGTGAGTCTGTTCAGCTATACGATGAACGACCGGATTGACCTTGTTACAGGGTACTCCCAAGTGAGACGACAGTTCTACCTTTAAACTTAAATGCTCAAATAATGTTAGTGTGTCCCGGGGTCTACTACACCTACTTCAACCACAAGTGTACGGACCACTAGCACCACTAGTACCACTACCCCCACAAGTACGGGTGTATTTAAGAACCCTCTCAGGAGCTCCAATGGATCAGATCCGTTCATGGTTTACTCGAACGGTTACTACTGTAAGAGATCTCATCATACACTCGAGTCTGGCTTGCTCATGCCGGCCAACAGACCTCATCACAACGACCTGGTCCAATCTCCAACTCATGCGCGGAAGAGTAAGTAGACTTGAGATATAAATCGAGGTCTGACGAGTTATCCAGACCCTGGCAGAATTGAAGGCATCCACGCCGAAAACGATTTGGACAGACTCCACCAGCTCGCGTTGCTGTAACTTTTGTTCGTACCCTTTCTCTATGATTTTCCGTGGTTAAGGTTACGCTTAACAGGGGCAGGAGAGATCCATTCAATCGATAATGTTTGGTACATGTGAGTACATTGCATTGCACCATACTTACGTTGTGTTCAATCCGCGCAGATACTACACTGGTGGACCCAATAACGGTAGTAATTACGACGGTCAAAGAATCCACGTGATCAAAGCTTCTTCCACCGATCTTTGGGCGTCGACATGGAGCTATGCCGGTATGTATTCAGGCTTATACGATATCACTATACTCCTAAGCTCTTGATAGGCCGTCTTGCGTTCCCCAATCGAGATGTCTGGTCAATTGATCCATCTGTGTTGAAGCTGAATGGTAACAATTACATGATATATTCAACCCAAGATAGTAATGCGCAATGCCTTTTCATTGCGTAAGTTGAACGACTATATCCTGTCCCATTACTGATTCCTTTTCTCTCGTAGTCAATTGACGAGCCCCACTACGGTTGGAAACGCGTACGTACTGAGCAGGCCAACTTTATCTTGGGAGCAGGTTAGTATTTTGAGGCTTGCACAGAGCTCTCGCTTAAGCCTTTTAGGTGGGCTGGAATGTCAACGAAGGACCAGGTATGTACTATTTCCAGAACCGTTTATATGCATTTAAAAATATAATCAGTTGCATTATATCGAAACAATCGTACCTGGGTCACCTATTCTGCATCCTTATGCTCTGGTACGGGCTATAAACTGGGGATGCTCGAGTATATTGGCGGAGATCCGCTGAATATTAGCTCTTGGAGCAAGTACTCTCAACCTGTTCTGCAAAGTGCTAATGGGTAAGTAGAATTTCAAAGGTACAAATCTGCATCACTGACGTTTCTATTCCAGAAATTACCAACCTGTACGTTAATAATGTCATAAAATCCAAGCTAATCCAAGATCCATAGGGTCATAACGGATTTTTCCTCTCTCCTAGTGGACAACAGTGGATTGTAAGTACCATACAATCATCATAAGCCTGTCACCGACTGCTTCTTCATTAGGTTTATCATGCAAATTCTGTCACTCCTGGCCAGTGCGATGGATCCAGGTAAGAAATATGTAGTCGTCTTCACCGCAGCTGATTCTCCCCTCAGGTATACGATGGCTCAACCTGTAGAGTGGAACAGCGATGGTAAGACTTTCCTATTGGTGGCTACCTTTTGCTCACTAAATATTTCCAGGTACGCCTCGCTTCCAGGCTCCCGCTCCTTTGAGCAGCAATATTCCCGAACCCGTCTAGATTGCTATAGATCACTATCAATCAGAGTTCACTTTTTTCATTTCCTTTTACCTACCTGAGGACTGCCTGAAAATACCACCGCACGATAACGTGCGATGAGCGGAATACCTGTTGAGTTTGGAGGGATTATTCGCTTCTTCAAAGTATTTATGATGAATTTCCTGGGTCCATGATATAAGGTTGGACCTGATAAGACAAACCGCCACCGTGATGGAGGCGGCTGTCTGCCTAGCGTTTATTACCTCATGATGAATCCATTTGATAGGCTCTAATCATCCACGAAAGGCTGTTGGAAATAACGATCAGTTCGGAGTTGATAGGATAA